TCTGAAAGGAACTCAGGTGATGCAAGCAAGCCTCTGACCAGGGTCTGCTGGCCAAGAAGTTCAGCTAGAGAGACGGAAACCATCCAGCCCAAGCTGCACAGTGCCAACAAAGGCTGCCACTAGGAAAACAAAAGGCAAAAGGTGGGAAATGCTGGGAGGCTGGGTAGTGGTGGGAGGGAGGGGTGCTCTCAGAGCCCTTCAGGGAGACAGATCTGGGGGCTGTGAGCTGGGATTGTGTGGGAGGAAAACCAGCCCAGAAACACAGGCAAAGCAGGGCCCAAGAAAAGTATGGGCAGAGGGCTAACTCTACCCTGGAAGCCCCTCTAAGTCCTGGGTGGTGGGTAGAGCCTTCTAGGAGCATGATGGGAACTTGTTCTTCTTTGATGACCCACTGCCTACCAACCTCCAAGAGATTCCAGGGCAGAAGTTGGTGCCATATAACCATCTCAAACTGGCTTGAGGAGAACTGATTCAGGGCTCCAGAGAGCTTAGCTTGAATGAGTTTCTGACTTAGTGGGAAACAAAGTCCCAAAGACTCCCTTAGGACTCAATTTCCCACCCCTGACTGCCTCCCCCTCTGATTTCATCTTACTTAGCAATGGCCTCATAATGCCCCCGCTGTTCTGGAAGCTGCCCTTTCAGATAGTCCTTTCAGATAGGACACAAACTGTGTCCCTCCTGTCACACCAGCCTGAACTGGGCTAGTGTCCATCTTTGACCCCATTCCTGCAGCCCAGGGAAAGGGAGATGCTCATTGCTTGAGTTACTTCATGCACTGGTTATTTGTCTTGTTGCTATGACAAATTGCTTGACAAAAGCTACTTAAGGAAGAAGGGTTCATTTTGACTCACAGTTTGAGGGTACAGTCCATCATGGCAAAGGAGTGGCGACAGGAACATGAGGTTGCCGGTCACATTGTCTCCATAGTTAAGAAGCAGAGAGATGAATAATGCTTTTCATTTAATCCAGGACCCCACCCATTGATGGTGCTGTCTGTATTTGGGGTGGGTCTTCCTACCTCAACCTAATCTAGAAACTTCCTCATAGGCATGAGCAGAGGTTTGTCCCCTAGGTGATTCTAGGTCTTGTCAAGTTAACAGTTAATATTAACCATCACAGTTTTCAGCCTCTAGAGCCATGTATGAGATTCACTCCATTTAAGGGCTGAGAGCAAGGGAAATCCAGTCATAGCTATTAGAAGAATGAGGAACCAGCTAGTGTTAGAAGCAACAGGTGTCTGTGCCCCTGTGGCCTCCACATGTGATCCTGATACAGCCATGCGCAGAACAGCCCTGCAGAGGCTCTGCAATGGTCCCAGGAAGCCTGACAGCATTCTCTGACATTGGAACAACAGTAGGTAAGAGAGACAGTAGGAAGTGCCAGCCACTCATAGGAGCCAAGATGGGGAGGTTTCAGGAAGAAGGCCACAGGAGAGGAAAAGAAGTGGGGTTCATTCAATAAAACGGGGCTGGGAGCAAACCACAGGAGAGGAAAAGAAGTGGGGTTCAGTCAATAAAACGGGGCCGGGAGCAAACCACAGGAGAGGAAAAGAAGTGGGGCTCAGTCAATAAAACGGGGCCGGGAGCAAACCACAGGAGAGGAAAAGAAGTGGGGTTCAGTCAATAAAACGGGGCCGGGAGCAAAAAGGCAAAGTTGCAGAGAGCAGGCAGGTCGGGGCCTTCCCACAGAGCAGGGCAAATGTGCACAGACAGAAAACCACAGAACCTTCCTGAAGAACAGTCCAAACTGCATGCTTATGGGCATGGCTTCCTTCTAGATCCACTACAGATCCCAGAGAATCCAGTCTTTCGTAGGACCACAGCTCTAAGTCAAATTATTGGGGTTAGCATTGGAGGCCCCCAATTTTGTTGCCAAGCAGAGATTCCTGGGACTCTTCCTGGGCCACCACCACCCTGGCCCTACTCTCTGAAGACCCCGAGACTCCTTCAATGGCTTTCCTCATCTGTGGCTCTCCATTGCTCTGCCCTGTTTGGCAGCTGTGTGTGGACATGACTTAGCTTTGCCACTAGTCTGTGAACTTCTGGTAGACAGGGTCTTTTCAAATGAGTCTCCAGGTCTTAGTCCCTATCTCTGAAAGAGGGGTTCAAGCTAATCCCAGCTTTACTGTAATGTTGACCCAGGGTAGACGATACCCAACCTGAAGCAAAAATTCAGGGGGGAGAACTGGAGACCATGTGGAAGAAAGGGGTGGGCAGATACTTAGAGACAAGAGGGGCCCCTCAGTTTAGAATAGGGCTGGCATGCTGCAAGCAGCCCCCTCACCCCAGTACCAACTGTGGAGAAATAGAGCCTCATTATCACGCATCTGGATTGTCCTGGATTTAAACTGTTCCCACCATTCCATAGCTAGGGGGCCAGAGGAAGCCTTATCTTAGCTATCACCAGCAACCATGGGTTCTCAAAGGATGCCATTTATTGAGCACCTACTATGTGCTAGACATTATGTTAAGTGCTTTAATCTCTTTTAAATTATTTATTTTATATGTATGAATATTTTGTCTGCATGTATGTAAGTGTACCTGTGTCATGAGGCCAGAAGAGGGTGTCAGAACCCTGGAACTGGAGTTAAGGACAGTTGTTAGCTACCATATGGGTACTGAGAACCAAACTGGATCTTGTGAAAGAGCAGCCAGTGCTCTTAACTGCTGAGCTATCTCTCTAACCCCATACATTAATCTCTTCATTAACCCTCCTGAACAGTCAGGTTATTTTATTACAAACCTGTTTGTTTATGTATTTATTTATTGCTGTTGTTTTGAAACAGGATTACATGTAGCCCAGGTTGCCCTCAAAGTCACTCAGTAGCCAAGAAAGACCTTGAACTTCTTTGCCTCCGACCTCTCTATCTTATGATTACAGGCATGAGAAGCCACACAGGGTTCATTATGAACCCATTGGGGAAAGGGCTTTTTTATGTTTTTTTTTTGACTGCAGGGATCTGCTAGGGTTTGGACATGTTTCCATTGCCAGGGACAACTCAGGCTACCATGGCACCCTGGTCCTTTAAACCCCAAACTTAGAAATGCTGCAGTCCCCAAACGTTTACAGTATCTCTGCTTTAGCATTTCGGAATGCCCTGACGCCCTCAAAAGGAAAGGTGGACTTGCAGGATGAAGAATCAATCACATGAACTTTCCACTTCAAGCTTTCTTTCAGACTGTGCTGGCCATGGAGATGGGAAGCCTCAAGTAGGGGTTTCCTGCCCTGAACATCGCAGCTGAGAAACTCTCCAGTGCCCCCTAGTGGTCCTTAATGCTACTGTCTTCTCAAGGATTAACAGCAGGAGACTGACTGGGGTGGGTTCAGAAGCGCGCTTGCACAGTGAGGAGTGGCAAGGAAATTCTGGACTAGGACGGAAACAGGACTTCTTGGCCACCAGCCCCTTCCAGTCCTGTAGTTCTCCCGTAGCTGATACCCAGCAGTCAGTCATACACATTTATTCTATATACGGTGTTACAAGTACAATACCCCCCACATTTTTGGATGTGCACTACACGATAATATATACATTACATATTAAACTCCCTCTCACCCACCAGTCAGCATGCAAAATGTGAAGTTTGCTGTTACTAGGAAAGAGCACCCCACACCCCTGGGACCCCCACTTCCATTTCCACAGTTGGTTCAAGGGTCAGCCTTCCCTCCCTGACCCTCTGCTTCCTAATGGAAGGCTTTTTCCAAAGCCCAATCCCACCACCTCGTTTACAGGACCGAGGAAATGAAGACTCTAATGACAAAAGTCCCTTATAGCACGGGAGGGAGGGGGTGAGAAAGGAAGCGAGGAAAGGACCAAATGTAAATGCCCTGGGGCCACCAACTCCTCGGAGTGGAGGAAGTGACCCCAGGAGAGAGGAGGGGGTAGGGAAGGGAAGGTGGAGTGAGGGCGTGGGAATTGCAGGCCTTTGATAGTAGGGTGCTTAGAGTGGCTGGTCTGCTCTGGGCCCCAGATCTATGTTAGGTAAGAAGGGGAAGGATTCCTCCTGCTTCTCAGATAGCCTGAAATGAACCCAGGCACTGAGCTGGACCGCAGATCAGTTTCTCTTCCGTAGTTCCTTAGGTCTTGGTCCTGAGAGAGAAAGGGACTCCAGTCCCGCAGCCCCCTAGAGAGCTGGTTCTTCCACACCGGTGTAAATCTGTAGCTGGTAGTATGGTCCCACTAGGGATGCTGGCTGAGCGCAGGGCCCTGTGTGGAGATGGGTGCCAGAGAGATTGTGGGATGCAGCAGTGGCAGATCTCTTAGCTCAGGACCAGTAGGACCCTGTAGATGTCGTGACAGCCGGGTGCCGGGAGGGTTCCGTGGCTCTGGAAAAGTGGGGTGCAGTGATGCCGGGTCCCTCAAGACTTTGCAGGAGATGCCCGGGGTCCTGGGTGTGAATCTAGGGAAAGAAAGCGGAGCACAGCCCCAACCCTGCTCCATACCCCCTTCGCGCCTATAAATAACCCTAAGTGTCACTTCAAAGGGCACCGGGAGCTCGGGACAAGGGCTACCGGGGCGGGGCACACCACGCCCCCCACCCTGGGCAACTTTGCATAAATAAACAAACCCCAGCCATGTCCTGGGGGAGGCGGAGGAGGAGCAGGAGGGAGGGGAGGAGGGAGGGGCGCAGAGATTAGTTTGGGAAGTCGCGCTGGTCGCTCATCCGATCCGCGCGGCCGCGCCGGCTGTGTCAAGTTACAGAGGCGCCAGAATCCGCCTGGCGCGGCTCGGCTGCAGCCACCTCCGCCTATGGGGCTCTGGGTGCGCGCCCCTTAGCCCGGGGACTGACACCCACTCGCCCAGGAGACGCAAGACACTCAAAGGACCCTGGGCACAGCACCAGCCTGGAGGATTCTGCACAGGCGAGAACTGACGGAGAGTGGATCAGATCCCCCACCCCAAACTTGCCCGGACTTGGAAAGTTCTTCGAAATAACTTCTCCGCACTTTGGTGCACCCCGATCGCGGCTCCTGGTGACTCTCAACTGTCCTCTTCCAACTGCTCATTTTTCTGCCTCTTTGGAGAGCAAAGGAAAGGGAAGCATCCACGCGAGTCCCCCCTTTCCTTTGCCTTGCAGTTTGGATCGCGCCTTTTGGCTCTCGCTTTTATTTATTCTATTTATTTATTTATTGGTTCTCAAGACGCGAGGGGATGGTGGCGGAGCGCGCCCGCAAAGCGACAGCCACCGGCGCCGGCGGCCCTGGGGAGCTGGGCGCGCCCGGGACGGGGACCGTGGCGCTGGCGGAGCACTGCGCAAGGCTGCCGAGCCCAGGGTGGTGCGGGCTGCTGGCGCTGGTGCTGTGCTCGCTGGCCCTCAGCCTGCTTGCCCACTTTCGGACGGCGGAGCTGCAGGCCCGGGTGCTGCGCCTGGAAGCTGAGCGCGGGGAGCAGCAGTTGGAGACGGCTATTTTGGGACGAGTCAACCAACTGCTGGATGAGGTTTGTGCCCTTTGTTGCTGCCTTTTATCCCTCCCTGCTGCGCCCCCCTCGTGCAGCCTCCAGACTCCACTAGCCGATGCTCACTGTCCCCGCTGCATAGTCGCCTGGATTGTCCGCCGGGGGAGTGTGAGCAGGGTTCTGGAGCACCAGCTGCATGCACCGGCTCTCCGGGCTCCCGGGGGCCAGTGTTTTAAGTTGGCGGCGCCTTGCAGGAACTAGGCAGGTGGAGGAAGTCCAGCCGCCCAAAGGTGCACAGAGACCCGCTGGACTGGTGTGAACTGGGCCAAGCGAGGCTGGGCACTGGTGGTTCTCTCCCTCCATGCCACAAGGGTGGGTGCTGCCTGATTTTTAAGTCACATTGGGAAGCAAGGAGAGGGAGTTTGTCATCTAAGTTGCCTAAGGGGACAGTCTCTGAAGAGGATTGCTCTTGGCTGGTTCTGCTAGCTGCTCCAGGCCCCTAGGGCCTAACTGTGAGTTTGATTGGCTCTGCTGTTCTTGGGGTCTGGTTAACCTATAATTCTTCTGCCCTGGTTTCTGGAATGGTCCTGACATTTTTTTTCTTTCCTTCTTAGCTTCCTTCTGGTCCCTAAATTTCTTCCATCCCAGGTAGATGAAAAGACACAAACTTGACTCTTTACTGGGGAAATTTTGAGAGAGTACAGGGGGCACCCTCCCCAGAGAGGCAGGAAATACAGACTCTGGAGGGGAGGGTGAAGTGAGGTGGATAGGGTGAGAAAGTAAAGGAAGGACTCCTGGGGGAGGGGGTGGCTTAATAAACTCAGGACAGCACAGAGGACTTGGGGTCTTGGGGTCCAGAGGGGGAAGAGACGGTCACAACCTGTCCCCAGGAGTCCTGGAAAATTTCCATTGGGAAAAATGGGAGGGGTCTTTTGTTCAGCACCAGGGTGGCACAGTGACCAGCAGCACTGGGTTATTTCCCCCTGGCTGGTCTTTATTTTGGCTGCTGTGCAACATGGAACAAATGCATAACCTCTCTGAGTTTCATAGTGATGATGGCAAACTTTAGTGCCCAAGTCTAACAGTATTGGGCCTTCTGCAGCCAGTTTATTCTGGGATAACAGCCTCTTTTAGAGCTGTTCCCTAGGGTGACCTGAGTCAGGAAGATCACAGGCCACCGGAGAGAGAGTGGTCACAGGAATAGGACATGTCCCTGATGTGAGTGACATCCTAGTGCCTCGGCAGGCTCAGGCCATCCCACAGTCTCCTAGGCCTAGGGGCAGTCTCTGGGCTCTTTGCTGGTTGACTGGCTACAGAGGGCTCTGGCTAGATGGTGAAGAAGAAACCTCCCTGGTTACATCCCAGTCTGTGTCAGGGTATCCAGCTCCTAGGACCTCTGGCCTGATGGATTGCTTTACCTTAGATGGCCAGTCATCCATCCAAACGATAGCATGTGTTTGCCTCAATGATTTCTAGACCTGATGTGGCCCCCATTTTACAGAGGGGGAAAACTGGCCAGGCAGTTGCTCAGGGCCATATGGTGACATCAGTTTTAGAACTAAACCTACTAACTCTTGTGTTCAGTCCTCTTGTCATTGTGTCCTGTCACTGGTTCACTGAGAACCAGCTGGGGGCCAGGCCACTCTGGGAACACTTCAGCCCTCTGAAAATTGAGATAGACACAGATAGAAAATGGGCAATCACCATGTCATATGGGAAAAACTAGAATAGGGAAAAGGGGACCAGGAAACACATTACATGCAAAACAGTCTGACAGTGGGGGTAGCCAAGGTGGGCTTCCTGAGGAAGTGATTTTTAAGGCAAGATTTAAAGGGTGAATAGGAGTTTGCCTGCCAAAATGTTTCAGGCTTTGTGCTAAGGAGTCAAAGACAGTATCTGGGGGCAAGAGTGGCGGGGAGTGGGGGGTGGGGTTGCTTTTGGGAATGAAGTCAAAGACTCTGAGGGGTAACAGGGCTGAAGGTGTGGCTGGAAGAGACAGGCAACCCAGGTCAAGATGAGCCTTAGAGATGGATAGAGCTGTCCAGGGGAACTGAGGAGCTATTGAAGGGTTGAGAGGACAGTATCTATGTCTCTAGGATGGGAGATTAAGACTGACAGGAGGCTGCTGCAGGCAGCAGGGGCCTTAGCCTGGAGTGGAGTGGAGTGGGGACAGGGGCTGAGAGGAGTGACTGGATATGGGGCTTTAAGGGTGGCAGTTGAAGAAGGTGTGGGAGGGAGCTGTCCTGTAGTCTGGGGGCTCTTGGAAGGACACTCAAAGGCCCATACAGCCACCACTAGCACAAGTGACATATTCTATTGAAAGTAAATAGAATTTGAACTTGGGTTCCCCAGGCACCCCAATCCCACTTCAAACACTTGGCAGCCACAGTAGCTGGTGACTGGCAAATTGGGCATGATGTCACCGGAAGTCCTCTGCCAAGGTGCTCAGAATTCTCATTGCTGTGAGGAAGTGCGGATGTTGGCTCTCAGTTTCAGAGTTTTCCATTCATCTTGGTGGGAGGGGGCAGAGCAGAGAGGCTCTCACTCCTTATACCTTTTATTCCATGCAGACCCACAGTGACAGCATGGTGCTTCCCACAGTCAGGGTCTTCTCCCCTTAGTTAATTCTCTGGAATCACCCTCACAAGCATGCCTAGATGTATGCTTTATTATTCTCCTAAGCCTTCTTATTTTATTATTTTTATGTGTATTGAGTGTATTGCCTAACTGTAAGTGCACCTGTGTCATGCAATGCCTTCGGGGGCCAGAAGGGGGTATCAGATACCCTGGAACTAGAGTTAAAGGTGTTAGCTGCCATGTGGGTGCTGAGAACTGAACTTGGGTCTTCTGCGAGAGCAGCCAGTGTGTTTAACCACTGAGCCTTCTCTCCAGCTCCCTCCTAGGCATTTTTAGGATTCATTTTATCATTTATAATTATGTGTATGTCTGTATGTCTGTGTATGTGCATGTGAAGGCAGGTGCTGGAGTTACAGGTAGTTGTGAGCTGCCTGATGTGGGTGTTGGGAACCAAACGGGTCCTTTGGAAAAGCAGTGCATGCTCTTAAACACTAAGCAACTCTTCAGCCATCCTAGGTATTTCTTAATTCAGCCAAGTTGATAAGATTAACCACTACCAGAGGTAACTGCTAGGCCTTCAGAGGTATCTCCAGAGCTACTGGAGGGGACCCACCCTTTTTCTTTCCTTTGAAGGGGGGGCAGTAATTCTCCCAGCCAAGGGCAAAGAGCAAGAGCTGAAGGATGAGGCTGAGTAAGATGGCTCAGTGGGTAAAAGCTTTTGGTGCATAAGCCTGGTGACCTGAGTTCAATCCATGGAACTCACAGTGAAAGGAAAAAACTGACTTCTGGAAATTGTTCTCTGACCTCCACAGGAGTGTGTATATATACACTATAAAAAATAATAACAATTTTTTTAATTTAAAAAATGAATGGGAGAGGTAAGACCAGGTGAGAGGAGGTGGGCCATAAAGTTTAGTGATAGACCGGTTCTGTGAGGTGGTCCTGAAGTGGGTCCCTGCCCTCGCAGGGACAGGGAGCTGGGAAGCTTAGGGACAAGACTAGATTCCCCTAAGCCCACCTTGCCGCGATGCAGCCATAGTGAGCCCCCGGGGAGCTGGCACTGGCTTCCTCCTGGGAATGCTGGGAGACCCTGAGGAGGAGGCAGACAGGAGAATGTATGAAGGAGTGGCCCTAGCAACAGGAGGGAACGATGATGCTGAGGATTGGCTCTGGGGCTCTGGGGCAGGTGAGCCTGAGCCACTCCCTGAAGGAGGAGAGAGGGACTGGGGAAGGACCTGTGCTGGACAAAGACTGGGTCTATGGGGCTGAGGACAAGAGAGCTGGGAGTGCAGAAGGCCCAATAGGAGAGGATACCTGGAAAGATGTGAGCCGTTGGCAGACCCCAGGGTCCAGCCTCTGGCAGGAGAGTCAGCACAGAGAGAGGAGGGTTCTGGGAGCTGGGGAGGTGGTTTCCAAATCCAGTGAGCCTCAGCAGAGCCTCTATCTGGACCCTTAATGAGCACTGCAGCTGCTGGGCAGTTGATTTCCTTGCTGTGAAGAAAGAAGTTGGAATGTCCCAAATGGAGAAACTCAGTTGACACTTAGGCTGGGACTAGGTGGGGGTGGGGGAGAGAGATTAAAAACAGTCTAACAGCCACGTTCATTTTGAAGGCTCAGGGCTGGAACAGGCGGGTCTCCCAGGCCTCTAGACAGTGGTCTCTGAGGGAGGCCAGGTAGGCTGCCATTTCTGTGACAGTGTTGTTCCCTGGGACAGGTTCCTGCCTGTTCATAGGATACAGCAGAGCCATGCGTGTGACCAGGATGGCGTTGCCTTCCATCCTCCCCACTCCCGGAGAGTCCTCCCCACTACTAGAGAGGTCAGTGCTCTCCTATCCCATTTTATAGATAAGACTGGTGTCTCCAAACCTCCCTTCCATTCTGTGACTCACTTCTTCCACCCTGAGGAAGCCCTAGGAAAGGAAGTGATGGAAACTTCCAGGCTAGGGTGTTGACAGAGAGCAGGCAGACCCCCACTTCCCTAAAAACATCTATAGGGTATGTGTACAGGGACCTTTTATTGGGCCATTGAAGGACAAGATCAAAGCAGTGGCAGAAAGATTGAACTGCCAAGATGTGGACTGATGTGGGCTCTGAAAAGAGCAGGCAGTGTGTAACAGGGTGGGCCACCTGTGCAGTGTCCTGGATACATGACAGCTGCCTAGGCCCCAGGAAGTGGGCAGACCATAGGTCCAGGTACCCTGTAACACAGCCCAGCAGCCCACTGTGTCCAACCCAGATCTCTGCCTTCCTTCTCGTGCAGACAGTGAAGTCCAGGCCCCTCACTCTTCAATGAGAAGGCAGGTCCACAGGATGCACATGGTGGCCTCAGAGGACCAGGGTATGATCCTGAGGGAGAGATGCAGACGGGTGTCTCCTCATGGCACCCCTTTAGCTGTCCAGCTAACTAGCTCACTGGGGGGCAAATACATGGTGAACATGTGCCTTGCTTCCATTCTGGAGCCCTC